AACTTTTTAACTAGTGGGATTATTTGGGATTAATTTTAATATAAAACAGGGCAGGCAAAGAATTTTCGCTAGCTTTTTTTTTTAAAGTAAGCTTAATTAGTAAGTTTCGAAAAATCACGAGAATACAAAGTACTTTAAACTGTATAAAAAATCAAAAAAAATTTTTATTAAATTGGCTAAGCCACAATGTCGATCATCCAAATTTGGGTTTGTCCATCATGCTGGTCTAATTGGTTTTAATATATAAAAAATAAAACTGGTTCCAACCTCTATTTCACTAATAAAAAATCACTGCAAAAGCCATTTTTCGCTTTAATAAAATGTCTATATTCACTATGCAAAAATAATCAGTAATAATCAATATTTCCGTGAACTTTACTTAGAAGGCAAAATATGTCTATGACTTATTGGACCATATTAAACTATACTGTAGAGTAAAGGTAACCAGAAATGTTTTGATCTAAAACTATTTTATTATATTAAATTTAAATAAGCTTTATTTCTAACTGTTTAATTTAAATAGATACAAGCTCTTTAACAAGAAGATCTGGGCTTAATATTTAAATTTGGTTAGTTATTGTAGTGTGTTTGAGCTTGTCAACATAAATTAGTAGTTAAAGTTTTAATAGTTTTAATTCAGCAATAGTAGCTTTGTTTTAAGTACAAAATATATTAGTAACTTATTATATTTAAAACAATATTTATTTATTTTTTTTATTAGAATTATACTATAGCTTTATTATTTTTATTTTGAAAATACTTTTTAAAAAAATATATAATAATTTTTAATATATTATGTTATAAAACTTCTAGTTAAATTGTTATTTATTAATTAAAGTGTATATATACAATAATACAAAAATATTTAATGAAAGCCTACAATAAAATTTAATCTAAACTAAATAGAGCTACTACACTATTAGTATTTGTACAGAGTTTAAAAAATTATATAGGTAAAATTTTTAGTAACCTAAGGCAATTTTGGTCTATTCGACCAGAGTTAATAAATTTAATTTAATTTTATATTATTTATACAGTTTAAAGTTACTTTTTAGAAAAAATAAAACTACAAATAATAAACAAAAAAGAAACATATAAAAGTTTTATCAAGACTCCACTATTAAAAATAATCAAAATTCTTTTTTGTTTTAGAGAAGTTAGTATGGTGATACCCTAATTTTAGAAAGTCATTATTATGCTAACTTCTCCAAAACAAAAAAGAATTTTGATTATTTTTAATAGTGGAGTCTTACAACCCTAATAACTCTTTCTTTTTTGTTTATTCTTCATAGTTTTCTTTTTTTAAAAAGTACTTTAAACTGTATAAATAATGTAAAATTAATTTGATTTAAATAGCCAATCTTACGAATATCTGCCTATAACCTAATATCGCCACCAAGATCAAGTACGTACATAAATCCAGAGTATAAATTTATTTGCTAACATTATAATTAATAAAATATGCATTGGATGTTCAAACTGCATAAATTAAAACAAAAAAGAAATGTGAAGATCAAATTTTAAACGATATTTGTATACAAAAAGACAATACTATAGAAAGTAATATATTTATAGATCTTGAGATAATCATAGATATTTCTTAAACAATTAATGAATTAGAAGTAAATGACATAAATGAAGCTTCTGCAAGTTCATTATCTGCATCTTTAGAAATTTCTATAGTTCGAATGATAATGTTAATAGAATCACATTGGCATATGCTCTTACCAAAAAATTATTGCTAGTACAATTGTATTGGTTTCAATTACTTTTACATGAGCAAATATTAATATCGTGGTGTAAAGAATTCAAAATAGTTAGCTTTAAGAATATGCAAAAGTTTTAACTGATTATCAAAATTGGACACATTTTTGCCTTTATTTTTCAAGCAACTTGTTTGTTAATAATATATTATTTTTCTGAAAGGTTTATTATTATATATTTTAAAAAATTTTCAAATCTAGCATTATTTTTAATTAGAAATTCTCAATCTTCTTTATTACAAAAGCTAAGGATATTTTACGAGATCATCAACTTTAATTAACTAAACACAAGTCAATTTAATGATTGATAAGAAATCAAGTATTGAAGATAGTAAATCCGAATCTGAAATTTTAAGGAAAAATATAGAAAAACTCTTCATGAGATATAAAAACAATATTTTATTATCATATTTTTGTATTTACATATTAGTCTTATGTTTTAGGTGCTTGATTGTCTTGAAAAATCTAACAATCTTCCCAAGCAAAAAAAATAGCTTCAAAGCATTAAATCAAACTTTAAACCTATTCAAAAATAGTAGATAATATTAGGAATTTCGAATGAGCAAAGAAACTTGGAGTGGACATAACAAAAACACCTTTTATTGATAGCATTAAATTTAAAGTTAAAGCTTTATACATGTATTAAAAAAAAATTTGAATTTGGGTATAAATACATTTTAAATATTCAAATTGAATGTAATCCTTCTTTTCATACTACTCAAAAAAAAATTCTTTCAAAAAAAAATCCTTCCACTAATTTTCATCGAGTGAAAATTAAATAAATTCTGATAAGTAATATAAATAAATAAATAATAAATAAGTAAAAAACTTCAGTTATTTTTTTAAAATTCTCATAATTCTAATATTGTACTTAAATTGAAATTTAAAAAGCGATTATGTACCTGATTTTGGTGGCGATACTAAGCGTGTTAGTTTTTTCTTGGCAGTACTTGTTCAAAAGAATATTTATCTATTTGCTGTGTGGACTAGTTTTTGCACTGTATATAAAAAGAGATGCGATTGCGTATATCAATTCCTTTATCCTGGTCTTCTATAAAATTCCTTGGGTAAGGTTTTGTATAGTTTAGAAATGCTTTTGGTTCATTTGGGAGTTCAAAATTGAATGATTCCTGCTCCCTAAATAATAATAATTATGAATAAAACGTTTTATTTACAACTTAGAAGAATGTTCACATATGAATATGTAGCCATGAAGAGCTTTCAATTCTGAGTTTATGTATCCTATTCACCATAAAATCCAGCAGGGTGCCAATTATTTCCAAATCATCAATAACAGAGTAAATGTTCAACTGCCAAAACAGCTGGCCATGAAGAGCTTTCACCCAAACATTTTACACCAATAGTGGCAGTGTAACTAGAATACACAAACAATTTAACATTATACTTAATGAGAAAACTCACTCTGTGCCTTTACAATCCACTCCCTTACTTCATAGGCTAATAATTTTGCTTGACAAACAGATAAATACTCTGTTCTGAGAATATTCATATCTGTGAAATGAGAGTTAACAGGAGGCAAAAATGCCAAAATTAGCTTATTATTTATCTAAATCTTCAAATATTTTTCCCTTTGTATACGTTGACTCCTCTTTTTTTTTAGTGTTTTTCGTTTTTTTATTATTTGGGGGCTTGGGCGATTGTTTTCAATTCTTCAGGTGACTTGTAAGATTCTTTCTCTGTAATAATTATATGCTGGATTATTTTGAATTAAAAAAGGAGCACAAGACTCTTCTCTTTCTCTTTAGAATCTTCTTTCTCTTCATCCACATAGACACCAAAACAAATGATGAAATTTGTATAAACATTTTTTATATTCATAGTAACATTAGAGAGAAAAAACTTTAACCTATTTTTTGAATCTGTAGTAACTTAGAGAGAGATAAACCTTTTGTTAGAAAAACCAACAAAGTTACACTTATATATCTTTTTTTGCCTAAAAACATTTCATTATTTCGCTGTAAAAGAAACATTTTAAACCACCTAATTTACATTTTGTCACGTTCTATCGATTAAAAAACAATACTAGCCCAACCATATACCCTAATATATCCATCTAAAACGTGTCGTATTATTTAAAAAATGATTCACCTCGCGTACTAATAATTTTTTTCTGACAATTTTCGTGTTACAGGAGTAAATCTAACTATAACCAGTGGTGTGCTACACCCCAGGCAATAAAAAAAAAAAAAGAGCGTTATCACGTTAAAGAGCACATTATGGCAAAACCGACCAATATAATTTTATTTGTGTGTGTTTGCTGGTTCAAGAGTTATTGCAGCTTGAACTTACTATGTTTCTACGTTGATCTGCAGTAACTATCGCTATCAACACTATATGACCTGCACTATGTAGACACCCCAGTACTGCTCTAGGTCAGATTGAGTTTTTCTTGGGTGATTTATATCATTCATGTTTACGCCCTTTATGGGATACAACTCCGGGTTGTTATGAACCTAGTCATAGGATACACCTCTACGTAGTGACTAGGACAAGTAAGCTGGTTTTTTTTTGTTAGCTGAAATTAAGTATCCTTGCAAAAAAAAGTGTAAATAGAAATAAATAGTGGGTAAATTTAATAAATATTAATAATAAATCATTATAAACTGTTAGCTATCATTACAGTACTCATTTTTAATTGGCTTTTTTTTTTAGCTTTTAATTAGTACAGTAGTTCTTTTAATTGTTAATTTTTTCGTGCAGTATCACTTTTGACCACTAATCTAAGTTTTTACATTATTGATAATTTAAAAGCTGTTATCTCCATTTTAATGTATGTATTTTTTAAACCATACAAGCTAAAATTTAGGATTACAAAAGCTACGAACTTATTTCTTTATTACATTATCAGATTTATTATGCAAAAGTATAATATAAAGCGCGTTATACGCAGCACTTTTTGTGCTCTCTACTATACTTCTTTAGTCACGTTAACGATAACGATAATCAGTCAACGATTAGTTGGTAAAAATCAGCTATATAGTTGCTCAACTACCACAATACGACATATTGAAAAATGCTTTCATTTACCAACATAGTTCGGCCTTTCTCGGGATTTCGTCCCTTATTAAAGTTTCGAAGGCTTCAGCTTTCTTCGGAAACTTCACCTTTCGCTCGTCTTTCACCGAGTTTAGGTTTCGTTTCTCGCCATTTACATAAAATGGTTTCACCTAGGTATTGATATTCACAAAATGTTGAAACTTTGATATGTGAATCGAAATGCATTAGTAACACTGTAAGATTTGAAAAAACATTGAATAGTTGCTAAACGTGTATAATTATCAACATTTTTGTGCCTTAACTTCTATAGTGTCTATGAAATATGTAAACCTAATTCACATATTTACTATAATAGAATTTCTCAAAATTACTTTGAAACTCGTTCAAAACTAGTCACAGAATACCGAGAAACTGAAAATATAAATCCATATCCACATAAATTTCACGTTGACCTTTCAATTTCGGCTTTTATCGAAAAATATAGCCATATTGAACCTGCTCAACAGTTTAATCAGGAAATAATTACAGTAGCCGGTCGAATTCATAATAAACGCGAATTGGGTAAAGTAATATTCTATGACCTCCATGGTGATGGTGCTAAAATTCAAATTGTTGCGAAAGTACAGTAAATGTTTATAATTTGGTTAAATTAATTATATTTGGTATAGAAAATATGATTTGGTTGATTAATATTTAATCTTTTAAAGAGATTCTGAGCGTGACTTTGCCAAAATTCATTCCGCAATCCGTCGTGGTGACATAGTCGGCGTTCAAGGATATCCTGGACGAGTTCCGCAAGGCGAATTATCCATTTATTCAAAAGACATAACTCTGCTTTCACCATGTCTCCATCAATTGCCAACACCACAACAGGGATTCAAAGATCAAAATATTCGATATCGACAACGGTATCTTGATTTGATCATGAACAATAACAGTCGTGAGAAATTTATTATTAGAGCAAATATTATTAATTATATTAGACGGTTTTTGGACGATCTCGGTTTTTTAGAAGTAAGCACTAAATTTTTTTTATCATAATAACAAAGCAAGGATTCTCATTCTGATTAATTGCATAATAATAGGTAGAAACGCCAATTATGACACCAACTCCAAGTGGCGCCTTTGCAAAACCGTTCATCACACATCATTCTGATCTTAAACGTGATATTTTCTTACGCGTCTCTCCAGAGCTATTCCTCAAACAACTTGTAGTGGGTGGATTTGATCGTGTTTATGAGATTGGGCGACAATTTAGAAATGAATCGATTGATGCAACACACAATCCGGAATTTACATCTTGCGAATTTTATATGGCATATGCTGATTTTTACGATTTGATGAGGATAACAGAAATGATGCTGGAAGGAATAGTTAAGAAAATTACGGGTGGATGTATAGTAAATTACTATCCGAATGAAGGACTTTCACATAAAGATGATAAAGTAATGGAATTGGATTTTTCTTCACCGTTTAAAAAAGTTAATATAATACCTAGTCTAGAAAAAAATTTAGGAATAAAATTTCCAGCGCTAGACGAGTTACATACCGAGGAATCAAATAAGTTTTTGAAACATATTTGTGAAGAACGCAAAATTAGTTGTAAAAGTCCAAGAACCAACAACAGATTATTGAATAAAGTAAGCACAAAAATTTGGTGAAGCTCCCAATTTTGTAAGTCAATAATTTAGTAACATTTAATACTAATACACACCAGCTTATTCAAAAATACATTCAACCTACTCTTATATCTCCTACATTCTTAGTAGGCTACCCATTATTCACGTCTCCGTTTGCCAAATCTCATCGAGGTTTACCTTATTTAAGTGAACGTTTCGAACTATACGTAGCAACAGAAGAAATTATAAATGCATATACTGAATTAAATGATCCTTTTGAACAACGAGAGAGATTTAAAAAGCAAGATTTGGAAAGGGAAAAAGGGGATCAAGAAGCACAAGTTACCGATGAAGCGTTTTGTACGAGTTTAGAATATGGGATGCCACCCACGTGAGTACAATATTCGAGGCGGAATGATAGTGTGCAGAACATGAAAATTGTTGACAACTTTTTTCGTTATTTGATAGTGCTGGTTGGGGGCTCGGCGTAGATCGGCTTACTATGTTTTTGACTAATAGTTCAACTATTAAAGAGGTATTATTTCTATTTTTCTCATTATTAATTTTGTGACAGTTGTTGATATTTTTCGTTTTTGTTAATGTTATGAACAGGTTTTATTTTTTCCTGCTTTGAAAAATATATAAATTTATTTGTTCCCTCTATTACCATAAACGATATCGGTTTCAATAAAGATCGCATAAAATTGGTTTGAGCTTTATTCTTTTAATCAATAATTGAAAGATTTTTAAGGCAAACAGATTTACTTGATTTATTTAATAAGTTTAATGCACATACAGTACGACCGAAATCTCAATTGAAAAATTCTAACTTACTATGGATCGGCGTGTTATAGTAGTTTTGACCTATTTTCTATATTTGATATGAAGTGTAAGCATATGTTGTCTGGCCATCAGTGATAACAATCCAATCAATCATAACACAAGGCATGTTATCGTCATAGGAAAAAATATATTTTCATCACTATCGTATCGTTAGAATTTTTGTATAACTTAGGATTGTCACATAAGATAAACTTAACCCGATTTGCCCTTTTATGTTTATTACCCGGAGTATCTTTGATCAATCAATTTTCTATCACATAGTTCGAAATGTCTAAATACAGAAATAGCTTAACGTTAGAGAGATGCGTCATGTGAATATAAATTTTTAGGCAGAAACTCAATGTATTATTGTTATATGTACTAAACTAATTGGGTTCAGATGCGATTTTATTGTATAAATTCGTTATTATTATATCCAGTGTAAATAAACATGTGATTATTCAGAATTAGCTGGTTATTACCGGTTCAGTATATATGTTAGATTCGATATAGAAAGCAACTTTAAGCGATATTATCATTCATGACTGTGGATTACAGTCATGTAAGAGCTCTAATCAGGTGACTTTATTAAGAGATGAATCACGTTCGGATTTATTGCGTGTTTCCATTTCCCATTTTTTCACCACTCCAACCATACGGCAATAATCATTGCCATTTGCACCTCTTCCTTTTTTTCCAATAAAGTCATTGATATTACCGTTATTCATACCGGACGTCATTTCTTTAATACATCGTTCTACTGTAGATCGACTGATATTCGACACTTCGGACACTCTGTCAATATCTTTAAATTGATCGTATAATCCGATTACAATTTGCATTTTGCCTTTATTGAGAAGGTGTGGAAAAAGAAAGAATCTATAAGGTTTTAACAAATATCGTAAACGACAAGATGGAGATGGCTGCGTATTAGAAAGCGTCAATCCTACTCTTGGCGAACTATATAGAGTAAGTTCTGAAGTTGATTGGCTCACAGTTGAGTCCTCTTGATAATCCTTCTTGACTCTTTTTGAAAGTATCTGTGGAAAATAAGTCACAATATTTGCGTTTTTACGCCTCTTTTTTCCTATAATCTCCGTATCATTACTATTAGCATTTGCATCGTCGATCTTCTCTATATATACCAAACCATTAGAGTTTTCCATACTTTTCGAAATTCCACTTTTTCCTTTCCACTCAGTCTCTACCAATCTTCGAATACCACCTTCTTGATCCACACCACATAATTCCAGAATTTTGTCAACAACTAAACTTGGACCTTCAATTACTTGATTAGTTTTATCATCTTTTATTGCGCGTATCAATATTCCACCATATATATTTCTACTTTTGGATCCAAATGTGATATCGATACCTTTTCTTGATCCACCTCGATAACCCAATCGTCCAACGTGATGAAAATACCATTCACCACAAGTTAGTTGATGTTCATGTCCGTGACTGAAGGGATCAAAATGATCATTAATTTCATCACGTAAATAAAATTCTATTTCGAGAATAGTAAAAGTATGTTTTGGAGGAAGGTGAAGCCGAGTGCTACGTAAAAGAAAGTTGGCTATATTTTTGGCCAAATCATAGTAGTATGTATGCGAGTCAAATCCATCATTTGGAATTTTTGGTATAGTTAAAACAGATAAAATTGGGTCAACGTTTATAGAAGAATCTTCATCCATGCAGAAATGAAGTACAGATTAAGAATTTGATCCTTTTTTATCTCTAAACTTTATTATATAATTTACACGTGTAACCCTAACGTTAATTGTAATTCTAAACAATTTTGGGGACCTTTTTTATTTTTATCCCCCCACATCAGCAAAAAATTCTTAAAACCCTGATATATACTGTATCTAATCAAATTCAATAAGAATTTTTATTTAAATTTTAATAATAGTATGCTATATATTGTATTAATTGTTATTTAGAACGCAATACAATCAAACCTCTCTATAGTCACACTCTTGGGAAACATAAAAGTGTGATTATAAAGAAGTATGCCAGTTATAGAGATCAAATTTATTATATTTAATACAGTATAATAAATAATATACTGTATATATACAGTAGTTTTTTAAAAAAAAATGCTTATAAAGAATATGTGCTTATATAGAAGATATCTGTAAAGAGGTTTGACTATATTTTGTTTATTTAAAGGTTTAAAAAATTTAACCTATTAAAAAGTTAATTTTATAAAAATTATAGCCAAAATTCTGTGATTTAGGCAGACACTGCAAACCGGAATAAAACGAATCTGATTGGTCAACATATTATAATTTATTTTGTTGATGCTATTTTCGCCAACAATTGTTAACAAAAAAATGTAATCATAGATCAAAGAGCTCTCTGAATTCAACTTACCAACTGAATTTTACTACATATTATATTCTAAAAATGATTTATTTTCGTGTGCAAAAAAAAAGCTCTCATGGAATACAAGTTTATCTGTGGTCATCACCAATGCAAAGAAAAGAACCCCACGCGTCAACTTCAGTAAGAAGGAGAATGTAGTACTTTTATTTATCCAAGTTAAATTCTCAATACTTTCGTTTTCTTGTATTTTTATTTTTAGCGGTTCTTTCGTTCTCTTGCGTTAAAAGAAGTTGACGCGCAGTTTACCAAAAACCAAGACAGAATGAAAGAGGTTAGTATTTTTACATATTGAAGTTAATAAGTTAGTTAGAAAGCGCATCGTGGCCACAGTAGTTAGCGCAAATTACCGGTCAAGTAGTCATACTTGATAGTCAGATTGGCCAATGACGACGGTGCGCTTACTGTGAACGTCCTTCCTTTCTAATTAATCTAAGCTCCTTTATGATAATGAAAACGGCGAATAAAGACGGGGGCGTGTAATTTAACTCCTATGTGATTTTTCGAGTAGGGAGTCTGCTGGTTCTGGAGGAGAGATTGGCTACGCTCTTCCTATAATGACGAACATCATCAACTCACCAAATGTCATCTGATACAGTATTACTATAGGAATCCGCGAATACTCAAATCCAAGAATCTCTTAGTATACCGTGATTAATTATTGCGGTTTGCAAAAAAATGTGAAATTTGCGATCAAAAAAAAGAAATCGATGATTTCTGATTTCCGATTTCTTTAACATTACTTCTGATGACGTATGTATATCAACTAATATTATGCTATATAAAGTCTTATATATATTTATTTAGATACATTTTTTTTAAAAAAATTCATTTCTAGTGATAAATTATTATCCCGGAACATGCTTTGGATGCACAAAGTGTCTTTTTTGTCAACTTCTAAAATTTAATGTAATGAAAAAATATATATATAAAAAAGTTATACTAAAGTTCTTTAGCAATATCATGTAATAATTCTTATAAGGTTGAATTTAGTGCAGCTCTTAAATTTTCTTTTTGCTTATCATGCAATAGTAAATTTTACCGGGCTATAAAAGAAACAAAATTTAATATTACACAATCAAGTTCTTTATAACATGAAGAGTATGCAAAATATATTCCTACAAAAGATGCTAAATCAAAATATGTTACAAAATTATGAATCTGCAAATAAAGATAAAAAATTATTCCCGGTTTTCAATCTTGAATATAATAATAATAAAAAAAAAATCTCCCGCAACTTTATTTCTGCAAAAAATGGTAAAGAAATCGGCAATCAGAATCAGAAATCATCGATTTCTTTTTTTTGATCTGCAAATTTCACATTTTTTTGCAAACCGCAATAAACGAATTGGCAACTGATCAGTTGATAATTTTATTAGACAACTAATCGATTGTCGACGATTAATTAATCGACTAGTTAGTTAATCGATTAGTTGACTAATCGTCTAGTTGTTTTATATGGTATCATACTTTGATCTTGTAATTAATGGCTACGCAGTTATATCCAAGCCATTCGATACACCATCTAGTCGACTAGTCAATTAATTGATTAATTGACTAATCAATTAATCGATTAATTGACCATAATCGACTTTTAAAAAAAATTTGGTCAACTAATCGATTACACTAGTTTCAACCCACTTAGTAATCAGGTGAGTAATCACCGTGATCTATGCTTGAGTATAATATTATTTTGATTAACATGAAACTTTACAAATCCCGTTTTTTTCAAACACTTCTAATTTGAGTAGATCACGAAGGACGTTATAAACCAGGAGTTGCCGACCAACTAATACAAATAATCCCTAGTACTAAAAAAATATATATTAGCGAAAATTATAAAAGATGTGTTAGGAAGCAATCTTGATCAATAGTTTTTTTGTTGTTATATTTTCATTTAGTGTCAACATAATTTTCTTTAATATAATTTATTATTAATTTTAAATAAATATAAAGGTATTCTTCATCTTTAGTATACTGCGGATTCTAAATCGATTATTTTATTAACTCGTGCATTATTAGTTATTCCTTACATTTTAATATATTTTCTTGAAACTCGGCCTTTACAACAAAAAACTTTGTGAATTTTGTTATATTCGATATTAAAGTTAAAATTTTTAAAATATAACCTCTTTTAAGCACTCAAAATACGATTTTCTTTTTACCTATTTTGCAATAGATTTGCATGTTTCATCATGATGCGTAGGGCAGGTAAAGATTATATAAAATGAGTAGCATAGAAAATAATATTCTAAGAAATAAAGAAATTTCATATAGTACAGTAATTACATTTATTATCGTGAACGAAACTAAACTTTATATGTGCATATTATGGTCCTACAAATGCCCATGCCAGACAGTATACTGTAGCATAAAAAAGCTATATTTTTATTAATTAGTTTTTTAAAAAAAATTTTTATACTGTATATAATATAATACAGTATATATTATATATGAGTGCCGTCAAGGAAAACCCTACAAGTTGTACTTTTTGAATATTAACTTCTAATAAAAATATCTTAAAACCAGCCAATTAGTACCTACTGTTCTTAATATTATTTGAATCATCTCATTAAAAATGATTCAAATAATTTTAAAATTATAGGTATTAAATTGCCTGATTTTAAGATATTTTTATTAAAAGTAAATATACAAAAAGTACGACTTGTAGGTTTTCTCTTGACGGCACTCATATATTACAATATAATTTTAATTATACGTATACTGTATAATATAAAAAATATAAAAAATTTTTAGCTAAAACTTTTGGTAGTTTACTAAATTTTGTCTTTTGTAATTAGTTTTGCTTTTTAGTTTTTTTTTTACTAATATATATACAGTAATGCAAAAAATTTTAATAAAAATATATATGTGAAAACTGGTCTAGAAAAATATCAATTTTAAGAATTCTGGAATTTTCTAGATTAATAATGTCATGCTCTTAATTTATAATTTATACTCTAACAGCTAAAGAATTTTTTTAAAATAATATACTATATAGTATATATCTATAAAAAATTTGAATATAAATTATAAATTAATCACAGAATTTTTAGAATGATATTTCTTAGATCAGCTCTTATACTGTATATTGTAATTTAATTTTTAGCAAAAACTACAATATTAATACTGTATACTGTATACTTTATGTATTTTTTATTATTAAATAATAAATATAGTTTTATCAAAAAAACAAATATTTTTTAAAATGTTTGTACTACATGTATATATATACTGTGTATATTCTATTATTCTTACTATCCTATTATTTTTATCAATATATAAAGCAAAATGATCTAGTACCTTTATCAAACAATATTATACAGTATATAACAAATTTAAAAACTTGCTTCTTAATATATAGTAGATAACACAATCTTTTAAATTAGTCAATTTAGACTTATTTCTTTTTGTTAAAAATTTTATGAAGTTTTTTTAACTTTTCAATTACACACGAAAAACCATTTAAATACAAGTTAATAAATCCTACATATACTATCTTTAATATAAAAACTAATAATACAATAATATCCATGACTAAAACTACCCATGGAATATGATTTATTACAAATGGACATGATTTATAGTTATAATTGAACTCTAAATTGAAAAATAAAGTTAACATTATAAAAAAATAATAATAATTAAACTTAACGGTTGAAACATGCATACCTTTATTTCCGTCTTCTGTAATCGTACTTTTAATTTCAAATAATCCAGCATTACCTTCAAATCCACCCATTACTGATCTAACAGTAACTTCTCTAACAACCAAAATATTTTCACTATCATCTTGTCCAATAAGTTCATCCTTTCTCATCTCAAAATCGGATGTCCTGTAAGCCTCTAATGAATGGTTATCATCGTCATGTATGCGTACTACATGTGTTATATCACATCCTTCATGATCATGCCCCGCAAATATAAATTTCGGCTTGAGTTTAGTAAGAATAAATTTTGATGCATTTTTTGAAAGGTGATTTTGTTCTTTTATGCAATCATTGCTATTAATAAAAAAAATGTATAAATAAAATGTATAAACAAAATGAATAATAATATTTATAATGTATAACACGCAATGAAATTAATAAATATAAAGTGTGCTTACTGATCAAAGATAGTCATTGGACCATCAATACATAATCCTTCCTCTTTGTATATGGGTATATGTGATAATAAAATTAAAGGTATATCATATTCATTTTGCTCGCGTTCTTCAGCTAATGAATCGAGGAAAGACCATGTTTCCAATCGCAAATCCTGAATAAAATAAACAATAAATTAATTAACCCGAATGAAATTAATAAAATTATTGAATTTAATATATATACCTCATCTGAAGCTGGACCGTCTATATTCATAGAATTTATAACTGCGATTCTATGTCTCATTATTTTCGCTGAGTCTTCTGAAGTCGATAAAGAACTTGATGGTATCCAGCCACCAAAATTAGTTTTACCAAATTCACGTTCCCATCTATCCACCCTATAACGCGACATATCCGAACCATATCCTATGTCATGATTTCCGGTTAAATTTATTAATTCATGAGTATATTCCTAAATATAAAAGATTTAACGTAATTATTAATTTAAGTCAAATGAACAGAATAAAATTAATTAGTGTATGTAAACTTACACCTCTAGGATCACCAAATATCCACTTATATCTTTCCACTCTTTTCTTAAACTCTTTATCATTAGTCCATTGACTTGAGAACAGATCACCAAGTATGATAGTATGAGTAGGTTTATGTGTAAATAGGGAATACGGAGACACGAATGATGTGTAGACATGTCGAATATAAATATCGTTGCCTAAAAGATCGATTTCGCCTTTATACATATATATGTATTATATATTGACATGTTATTAAGATAATTAAATAATTCAACTACTACGATAAACGAAATAAAACTAAACCTCTTATTCCTTCTCGTTCTATTTTCGCATCACCTTCAATCTGCGGGTCAGCCAAGAAAAGGATTCGTGTTTCAGAGTCTATTAAGGTATTTTTGTTAGATTTTAAGGAAATCGAGAATTCTAAATCTCATTAAATGCTTACTAACCTTTCCATTTCCATCCACAAAAAGCAGTATAATAATAAATATATAAACTCGCTCCCAGAGCGGTTAAAGTTAAAGAACGAAAAAATATGGAAAGGACCCGCATTCGAATTTTCGTAAAATACCAATTGAAGATCAAATCCATTTTAAAGGAAATCTGCAAGTTGGCAATGCTGTGGCGCAGTCATCGTAGTAACCGTGTAGTAACCGTGTTATGTGTTTTGCATATCCCGATATCCCGTCGGGACCAAGCAAAAAAGTGTGCATTTAGAAGCATTTAGAAGCATTTAGAGAGAATGTGCATTTACATTGATCGCTCTTATAAGCAGGGACAACTATAGAGGTCGAATATTAAAATTGTATGCAATACTGTAATACATTTACAGTCTAACTAACCTCTCTAAATGCACACTCTAAAATTTGCGCATTTAGAGAAAATGATTTGATTTGATTTTTATTGGCTAATCAGCAAGAACTCTGATTGGCCAGAATTAAAAGTTAACTCTAATATTATATATAATGTTAATATCACGAATTTTAGGTGGCTTTGATTATAAAGCCAATCAAAATTGAAAATTATGAGAGAAAGAATTCTTTTGTTTAAAAATTTATTACAACAAAATTAGTAAACTCTAATCTAATTGGACCTATATCTAACTAATTATAGCAAACAAATACAAAGGGATGTATTGCTAATTTGATAATATATACTGTATATATATATATATATTAAATATATATATATATTTATAATACGTAATATATATGCATATATATATAGCTTTAAATAATTACTGTATATACTGTATTATTTAAAGAACCTATTGTTTTTAACAAGTAAATTTTTAATCTTTAACTATATATATATAATTTTTTTATATTAGAATTGAATTTAACATTAGGGTTAGATTTAAGGTTTTAGAAGGATTTTTGTGGCGTAAACCATTTTCCTAGTATATGTATACCACATTTCAATTTTAATTATATTTTAATATACCATTTTCTGAGCTATATATATTACATTTACATATTACGTACGTACTAAAACAAAGAGTAAGTACTAAAACAAAGAGTAAGTAATGATAATGAAAAAATTTTATTTAAATTATTATAAAAATGTAATTGCTTTTTAACAATTTGCTAAATGAAAAAAATAATAATGAATAATGTCAAGATTCCCACTTAATTACCAATTAAACCATTCCGAAAACAAAAATACTAATTGCAATAGCTACTAGTAAGGACCAAAACATCATAGATTCTATCATAAGAGTATTTCCAATAGCCGAAGAGGGACGATTAACAGAAGCAATAGTATTGGTGGGATGTTGATTATTAGTTGAATGAGTACGTAAGGCAGAAATTACTTTTGAAGTTGCTGTGCTAGTTATTGAGGGTGATTTTTGAATTGTTGCAGAAACAGCACTATTTGTCAATGGTGTTCTCTGGAGTGTATTGGTAGTAGCTGGTGTAGTTATCATTTGAATTGTGGCCGATGCCGTGGTCATAGTTTGTATAGATGTAGATTGTATAAGTGTAGATGGTTTTAAAGTAGTAAATTTAGCTGTGTCGGTGGCAATGGAAGTGAATGGATCAGTCGCAATGGTGTTAATGGGGGAGGGCGTAGTAGCTTCAATGGGAGCAGATGTAGCGGTTGAAATGATCTTTATTGTATCGGCGGAAATGGCCGGAATAGTTTTGATGGTATCAACGGAGGTGGCTGGAATGATTCCGGTAGTGCCGGTTGGAATTTCTGTAGCTGAAACTATGGGAGTAGCTGGATTTGAGATTACTTCAATGGATGTAGTTTGAATATTCAAAATCGGTGAGACCGATTCGACTCTTGGAGAACTTGGCAGCACCTAATAAATAAAAACATATAGTAGCAATAAGTCGATTAAAAAAATAGTCAAAGTTTCAATTAATTATATAGCATACCTTATGATTCGACGCTATTTGAGTCATTTTTTGCTGACTAACGCCAAAAGGCGGAGATTTTGCAGTGGCTGGAATGTACATTGTCACAAAATTGGTAACTCGTTCAGTTACTGTCATAACATGATTTGCTTCAATATAAAAATCAACGAAATGAAACGGACAAAAGAATTAAGCGAACTTAGCGTTATTGAAAGATGTGAATAATTTTAAAGAAAAGAATTACCAGCCGCAAGGCCATCAATGCATGATATCCATAGAAATAAAGAAATTGCAAAAAATTCTATTTTAGACATTATAGTCCTGTAATACGTATTATATTGAATTTTAACGGTTTTATTTTATAGAAAAAAAAAATGATGGTTGTAAAAAATTTAGAGAATTTCTCGGTTAGATTTAAAAGAAATAAAAATGTAATATATTTTACTTTGCAAATCAAGATTTAATTAATTCATTTTACGCCTCCACTTCATCATTATGACTAAAGACTATTTCTTTGACTATTAGTAATTAAAATAGAAAAATTATGATTGATGACATTTTTTGTACACGCATACTTTAATATATATATAAATGCATTTATATATAGAGTTAAATTTGTGATTAATTCAGACAAGTTTAACTAACGCTAATAAATATAATTTTGAACTCAAAATTGTCTACACTTTAATTTATTCATAAAAATAACGGCTTTTCCTGTTTCTTCAAAAGATAGATCCGTGTTATATAAAATAACTTATTTTAGACAGTTAACAATTCATAAACTTGTTTTTTTAGGCAAAACGTACGAATTCGCAAGGTATGAATTAGCAACAGAAAAAATATTAGACATTATTGGCCAATCGTAATCGATGATAGCTCCCTTGGAGTAGTTCATTTTGAGTGTTTTACACAAAAAAGAAAAAATTTTTTAAACTATCACTCAAAACCTTACTACTACTCCCAAGACGATTTACTATGAGATGGGCCTATTGCTATTTTCTAAAAATTGTTATTTATATATGAAAACATACGTTTGACCAAATTGTCTTGCGTTACATTAACGCAATTAAGTCGAGCCTACTTCCGACCAGAAATTTTAAAGAGAAAAATGTGATTTCAATGCTCAAGCTTTTTTTTTTTAAATGTAAAAAAAAAACATCAAAAAAAAAAAAAAAAAGAAGTTCGATGCAACCAAGATAAGCCATGAATTTTCAAGCCTACAATAATAGCCTTTCAAATATAAGCTATTCGTTATTAAAGTTGTCCTTTTCTGTTGTCTTAAATATTACACCTTTTCTTCGTTACCTACATTAATACCCATATATGCCCATACCAAATTATTAAAATAGATTAAACAAATATACACATTCATATATATACATATATAGTTCATAAATAAAAGTGGGCGTAAAAGATATTCTAAAGAGACATGTAATAAATTATAATATTTTTCGGGGAAAGTTTTTTTTCATTTATGATGTGAGTATGGGTCAGTTCCTGTTGTAGAATTGTTTCCATTTCGAGATGAATGATCTTCTAGTTTATGATGGTGTTTACGGTAAAATTCTGCTTCGAGCTGTTCAGCGAAGCGAGAGGCCACTCTGGCAAAATATGCCTATGAATAAATAAATTTCGGATTTTTTTTAATAACAAATCATTTATTATAAAAGTATCTAGACTTTGAAAAAACAAATACTTACTTGAAATAATATAATTATACCTACTGCAATTCCAAAAATTATGATTCTCCAAGTTTCTATATTGCTACAAACGTCAGGAAGATTTCCTGAGACTTTTCCATAAGCTGCAGAAGTCGCGCCATCAGTTATATTACTGACAACTGGAGTACCAGATTGTGATTGATTTATATTTGAAATTGTGGAGTTAGCTTGCAATTGACCATTGTATATGCATCTATCAATCGCTGTTTGCTTATTTGTAGTCAAACTGATAATATTGATAATAGCAATAACAAGATTGACTAAAACAAATCCCCATAGCATTGTGGCGAAAATACGGACTGCACCTGCTGCACTCTTTTATTAAAAAAGTAAATGAATTAATATCAAGTTCAAAAGAAATAAAAGAATTGAGAAAATATAAATATAGTAACTTACAAAGAGTGAACCGATAATTCCAAAAAAAGATACCAACGCCATAATAATGTATGCAATACCAAAAACCAGTGTTAGACCTTTTGACATATCAGGCGCGTACGCTAATTTCGAAGATAGATCATGTATATTAGGAAAAAAAGTACGCGTCTTATACGATGTTATTAGATTACATAATATGCACCTTCTGGTTTCCCCAGGTAGCCCACTGCTGCTCCAATAGCAACAAACTAAAATAAAGAAATAATGTGAAGTAAATGAATGATAACTGATTTAAATCTTTATATATATATATATATATATATATATATAAAAATAAAGATACCCTACCAAACATAATCCAGCGAGGAGTATTGTACCAAGCCGAATAGGAATGCTAAAAAGAAGCAAAACCAACAATTTAATAGTTTGAATAAAGGTTTTATAGGATTAATATCATTCTCAAAAATTTCCTCCCTTTTATTTTACTTATCCAAGCCTTTTGTTGAATAAAAGAGGCAGCCGGTCAAATCGAACTGACAACTGATAAAATGCATGCTAGCAATTAGGATTCATTCGGTAAATTATAAACACCCACCAGCAGCAACAGAATTCGGTCATTTCGAATTTCTAAGCAAACTTCGAAAGAGGTATAAAGTGGAATATCTACGATAAACGAAACCTTTTTACGTTCTTCGTATTGTTAATGTTGAGGCTTAGTATTTATACCTTTTTTGATAGGGGTAAAGTAAAAAAGGAAAGGTTATTGGCTTTGCAAAGAGTGTCTGACGCATGGCTTTGAAAAACGCTGACGATCCAGATAATTTTTTAGCAAACTAGAATAATTTTTTTTATAATATATACAAAAATATTGAACTCCATTATGTAAAAAACATTTAGAAAGGCCGCCTAATAACATATGAATATTGCTTCTTCTCGTATTGCACTTTATTAAATACGGCTTGACTATGATATTTCCTCTCGTTTTTTATTTCTGCTAAAAAAAAACTTTTTTTGAATGATCGACTTTTACATTGGAAACAAAACATGTTCTAGCCGGAAAATGATGTTCGATCCAAATTTTCTGATAGCTTAATTTATTGCTTTACTTTCATCATCATATTCAACACGCCCTAATAATTTGATATCAGTATGCCTCGCCAAGCCCCAAAATGAATTGCAATTTTATTATTTAAAAATAACAGAAGCCACAGCTATATTTACGATTAGAAACTTTATAAAAGAGATGTCTTGAGTTTTCTTAGAAAAAAGAAACAAATTTCTTTTCGGTTATCTTTTTTTTCGTATTTCACTAACTAGACTTTCTTTACATGTCACATTTACTAATGCGCGTAAAGTCCATATCGATTACAAACAATGAATAGAGATTTGTGTTACGTTAGAGTATTAATTCAATTTAATAATATTTAATATATAATATATATATAATATTAATAACGATAAAAGCAATCGAAAATCAAAGTACAGACGTCAAAAAAAAAAGGAGAACCTATCATATTTATTCCGGTATGGAATTTATTCTTCCGAGGAATTCTATTTAGACGTGTTTCAGATTAAAGGGGTGAATTATGTTTATCGATATGTAAGAATTGATGGGAGTATAATCTTATGACCTAACATAAGTTGATCAAAGCAATATTTAACTGGTTAATATTTTTATATGTCATCAAATTAGATAAAGAAAATCAAAATGACCTAATGCTGTAATGGAAACTACTCTATATTAGGTAAAAGAACCAGTTTTTTTGTTTGGTAAAATGGTAAAACAGTAGAGTTTAAGATAATATGCTTTAAAACTATATTATGCACATTGATAATGAATTTAATAAATTGGATGTGGATTTTCACCTATCGCCATAAACTTTATACAATATCGATGTGATTTCCAAAAATTATCATTCTTTTATTATATTTCTTGGGTTATATTAAATGATAAATATTATTAATGTATATATTCCCGATATTGTTGTATTCATTAGTATTAACTTCTTCGCCTTTAATCTAATTTATGCTTAAATTACATCTCTTTTTAGGTATATATCGATATCGTGTGACTAAGTAAAAATGGAAGTACGTACGTAGGTTAATTAACCAATTATATATGATCTGGCTTTTGGACGAATAATGCATGTATACATACTGTAATTCACGCATACATTGCTGATTATGGTTGTGAAAACTAGTCGTCGTAATATATTCGTTGGTCTTCAATAGTAACACTGTTACTCCTAAATAACAGTTACAAGCATATTAGGTGACTAATAAATACGGTTGTAATTCACAATTCTAAATTAAATAAATTAATAAATAAATAAAAATCAATCCCGAAATCTCTTTTAAAAAGAGACGCATTCTGTCGAATTTCGGGCAGATACCTAACGCACGCATCACGAAATTGCGCAGTGCTGTACGTAACAATACGTATCCAATTTGATTGATTTATGACTAACCAACTATTTGCAAACGAAAAATAACTTTTTAAAGATCTTAAAAATTTATTATCTTCAATTTGCAAATCTTTCACTTGGTTTTGCTATTTATTCAACTACCAGTTGATGATCCTTCTTTTAAAAATAACTATAAAAACTCGCAATATTTTTTAAAAAAAAACCTCCACTCTTTCCTTGTATATTTCCTTTTACTGTTGAAAAAAAATGAGTACTCAACTATCTTCTGTATATATTTTCGCTCGCCGAAAAATGATTTTTGGAATTTGTCGTGGTTGTGGTAATCCAAATGATGATTTCAACAAGTGTCAATCATGTGAGGATTGGATTAACGAAAAAACTCGAGTTTTACAAGCCTTACAAGATTTAATCGCGCAAAGAAAATACAAAATAAACTTATCAAAAAGTGATGAAAAATCAGAATGCGCCGAAATTTTGTCGAGTGGCGAAGGTGGGTCTCCTTCAGTAAAGGAGATGAGTTCTTCAAACGCTAAAAATAATCAAGAACATCCCGATTCTGAGGTAATAATAATCCCTGATACTACAGATATTTATGCTTGAATGAAATTATTATTATTTTTATTCTAATACATTTAATCGTTTTCAATAGCATTACGCAATACAAGAAAATAAAGATCAAAAGCTTCAAGAATCAGATTATCAAAAGTATATAACTAAAGAACAACGAGTTTATACAATGAAATCCACAACACTTCAACCTACACTTTCCAGTAAAGAGTTTACTCAAGCACAGGAACAAAAACAAGTCTGTTGTGGTTTTAGTCAAGCATATTCTGTTTTTGCATGATCACGATTCCTTCTAGGATTTTACTTTTAAACACTGGTAGTTGTGTGTTATGATATTTTTTTTTTTAAACTGTTGATTTTTTTTAACCCGAAGAATTTTCACATGATAAAAAATTACGTACATACGTACTGCTGTACTGCTAAAATTATATATATATTGTATGCTGTACCTCAAATCTTGTCAAATAAAATGTAATTTTTTGAGTTAAAAGAGGCAAGTTTTGATTGATCTCTATAAATACTGTAAACAGTATTTTCACTGGCTTATTATTACAAATTTTAAAACACAAATAAAAAATGGTTGGTAAAATTTAATACTACAGTCAAACTTCTCTATAGTTACCTTTTACATAAGCTTATTTTCTTTATATCCCAAGGATCTATTTAATATATATGAGATTTTAAGATCGCTAACCAATAAATATTGTATTACACTTTTACCAATAAAAAGTTTGCACTACATGAGCACAGGATAACCGACTACGTATTAGAATTAATATAGCAGTATATTTTTAATTTTTAGTTGAGCATTGTACTGTACGTAATTTAGTATATATGTAAATTAGAACAGTATAAGAAATTTCTGAAAAGTAAGCAATGAATTAAAGATGTTAGAAAGATACGAATATGGGAGCAATTCTTCTGATTTTGAAGTGAAGATTATAAAATTAGTTCAAACTGAAATTAACTCCTTCACTTAGAAAAAAAAAAACTTATATTTCATTATGACGCATTTGTCAAATTTAACTAATTTTTTGTCCCCAAATTTAAATTTTGAGAACAAAAAAAACGGCAATTTTTTTCGTACATCGGTCTATGTAACCCTACATACATCAGCAAGGATATTTTCGAAAAGCATAAGTACGACTGGTCATGTGTTTGGAAGAATGCTGGCAAACCAAAGGTGCCGGAAATAAATTCAATTAAAGGATTTTAAGTCCGCAGAATACATTGTGAGTAATTTGAGCTGAGTAATTTGAACTGAAACGATGATATATTCCCGGAAAATTAACAGGTGGTGGTTTCCCGCCTGCTTGAAGCAGGCCGGCTGTTAAATAGGAAAATGGCAGAATCAGGAGACTACAGTGTGGTGGGACGGGTTGGGTCGAGAAAAAAGAGATGGTTGTAATGCTTGGTTGTGTTGAAAGAGGAAAGAGTGTCGCAAGTTGGTTGTCTGTTGCTTCTTTAAATACTGTGACTTTCATGAAATTCCAGGTCTGATGTCTCTTGATCCCCGACCCATGTTATCAGGGCAGGGTTGTAGCCCCTGACCATTCTCCCCTGTCTTTTCGATCTGTTGACTCTTATCAACATGCACGATAAACTTTTTTTGTTTTAATTAAACCAAAAAAAAAGTTCATCGAATTTGCATAGGTGGTTACTAAAAAATTTTGATGTACAGTACGATGTAGAGTGTCCAGGATTATGATGCGACATAAGAAAAGTTGCATAATTTAGGTCTTTCACATAATACATTAAGACCTCCCTAAGTGCACACCATGCTCTATGTAAAATTTCTCTAAATGCACGGTATACAGTAGCTTAGCCCCAGCATATATACTGTCACGGGCTAAAAGGAAGATCGACGAATCGGCGCAGCAAACTCATGACTTTAAGTAAATCGATCATCGGAATTCCAGATCGACTAGTGCATGAGGCTTACCGGCTAAATAACGGAAAGATAACCTACGTGAAATCTGAAGAAGAATTCCAAGAAGAACAAATGAAGATCTAAAGAGAAGAAAACAAGAATCAAGAATAATTAGAATAGTTAAAATAGAAATGTTGTAAAGGCAAAGCCTTCATTATAATTATCATGTTGTACTTATCGTTGTAAGCCCCTTTAGTTATAGTGATCCTTCCTCGATTTTTTGTGATGAAAGATCTGATTTAATTGATTTATTCCAAAGCCTCTTGAGATCGTTAGATTAGTGAAAGTTATAAAAACCCTGTAATTTCTCTCTTGTAAAAAAAGGTTTTATGGGATTTCAATACTATTACATATAACATATAATAAATCACCTTGATAATATCATTTTAAAACTAAACTATTGCTAAATCACTATCGTCACGCCTCTGGCGAGTTGCCTTATTACTTAAAACTATCTATTTTCGTATTTATCATATCAAAGGATACAATTCACCTCATAACAATACTATATATTTTGTTTTCTATAAATGTACACACACTCTTTAAGTGCACATTTTGCTTTTTTTTTTTTACTATGATCCCGAGGGGGATGCACTTAGAGAAGGTCTTACTGTAATTCGCATAATATGAGTATATTAGCTTTTTGGCCAAAGAAATTGCTCAAAATAGAATAAAAAGCTAGGGTTTGAAACCGGTATACTTTTCGCTAGTTAAAACTGGGTTGGTCGGTTTAGCATAAATAAAACTGGTTCCAAACTCTATATAATCACAGCACTGTTCAATTTTAAGCGGTCTATGTACACATATACTATATATTAATATACAAGATAAAAAACCTAAGTAGATATTTTGCTGCTTACAATTATTGACCTCAACATAAAGTACCCATTTGAATAAAAATTCCTGTGGGTAATACAAATCTCTAAAAAGAAATGGCCAATCAGAGAACACAAATTTTGGGTATTCTGAATCAGAATCCGAACATGTGCGAAAGAAGGAAAAAAGAAAGCAGAAATACTTAAAAACTAGTGTTTAAATCAGCCTTTGTGGACTAATAAAAAATAACGGGGATCGCCAACTTATCCTAAACTTCTATTTTTACGCACTACAAAAAAAATTGCTGAAAAAAAATCCCGATCTATAATAGCATCTAACTCATTTTTCCATAGACTAACCCATCTTCCATGTCTGATATGTATTGTTACAATGCTATCATCTATTATATTAAAATAAGGAAATTTTAAAAATGTAAATTCGTTAATTTGTGAAACAATTTTTTGTAAAAGCTAGAGGAGTTCTGACACGTCAATAAACTGATCTCGACACAACACGTCCCTAACAAATTATAAATTACTTTTTTGTGTTACTTTTTATTTTTATTATCATTATAAGTTTTCACCCTTGTTTTTCCTATTTGTACTTGGTAAATAGTCCAGCACTAGTAATATTATGGTGATATTATGACAACTACACACATTTCTCATATATGTTTCAAATACAATACTGATACATCATATAGGGTCATATGATTTCAAATCTATCTGATTCGATATCTAAAAATCAAAACAATCAAATAAGATATATTACTTACTTTTTTTTTGTATTCTGTATTTTCTTTCATAATGTTTATTTTCTTGATTTTGATTAGTAGACATCATGACCTACAATTCTTATTTAGATTGCATAGCTCATTTTTTTGCATTATTAAAAACAGACTTCAATAGCATAGTTTGTTTTTATAACTTTACATTTTCAAAAAGCCTGAGGTACTATCGTAGGTCAGTAATTTTCACTTTACAATGTGGGAATCTAACGAGTCATAGCATGTGTGTGTGCACATGACGCAAAACGATCAACAAAGATGGCAAGGACAACAAGAGCAACAAAGACGCAAGGATGACAAAAGCAACAAGGACGACAAGAACAGCAAAGCGACAACGGCAACAAAATGATAATTAGGAAGAGGGATGAGGAATGAATATGTGCACACCTTGCTATGAGAAGTTAATTTTAATATAAGAGGTAGATTTTAAGATCTGCTAGTTCCGTTCCGATAAAAGGAACTAGCTATGCACCTTTCTTAGAAAATGATATGCTCTTGTAAATTAATTTTCATACTCATGGCTATAACTGTCATAATACAAATACAAGTTGAAGTTAACCATCTATGATACAAAAACGACCAGGATTTAATGTTGTTAATTATAGGTTAGTAGTTTTCACTTACTAACGAGAATAACATGTGTATACACATGGCACGAGACGAAAACAGGTAAGAACGGCAAGATAGCAGCACGACAAGGACAGTAAATATAGCAAAGACAACAAATAACTATGGACAACAAAATATTAGAAGAGAAACGGTGAATGGATATATACACACTTTGCTGTGAGAGGTTAATTTTATCTGCTAGTTATAAAATAAATATAAAAATATTTACCGTAATTTTTATACCAAAGATAATTAGCCATGCGATTCTTACTAAGATTCAAATCCAAAAAAGTAAGTGTATTTTTTAGCAATCAACTTTGTGAGGCACTTTGCTTCAAAGCCGTGAGAACCAAGGTGCTTGGGTTCGGTTTACTCGCCTGTATGTTCCTTCTACAGGGAATATACAACCTAAAAAATTTCCCTTTCTTTAGATTACCTTTGTGAGGTATTCTGAGCTATTTGTTTTGAGGTAATTTAGGGGTGTCTCTCATTATAAAACAGTAGTGCAAGATGTTGGGGTTCGTTTTGATGGGTAATTTTGTTTCTCCTACAAAGAATGTACAGTCGTTCCTTTTACAACCACCCAACACTCTAGATTAGAGACCACTTGACCCAACTTACTAGTTCAAACCAACACAACACTTTAGATTAAAACTCATTTAACCAACCCACTAGTTCAGACCCAACCCAAATTCTAGATTACCCTGTTAGTTTAAAGTCTACCCAACTTGTTAGATTAGAGCCCCCAACCCAGTCCAACCCATTAGTTTAGAGCCCAACCCAAGAACATACAGTACAACAGAAGTTTTTTTATCCAGTTCTAGAGGAAGAGTCGGATTCTTGATTGTAAAAATATCGTTGCTTAATAAACACTCTTTATTAATCAAATTTCAAATTACATATTTTTAGAACAAAAGAATTCTCATCCAATCACCACTCAGAACCATGATAAAAATTCCCAGTCAACCATGCATACCGAAAATATGTCCTGACGACTACTTAGTTGAACAAATTTAATATAATAAAAAACAACAATGTATTAGTAATAACGATAGTGATTTATAAAGTCAATTTTTCTTTTGTGTTGCACTTTTTATTACTTCATTTTTGTACATATCTTATGGTATTTGCACACTAG